ACGATCAGACACCAATGGCTTCACCGAAACAACGCTTACGTACCTCGTCATAGCACATGATGGTACCCGCTAAACTAGTTACATTAACAAACTATTCAAACTAACACCGATCTCGGCGCTGATCATAAACTATTATGTGCAAAGTTCGAATCACCCCAGAGAGACCATCGAAGCCTCTTCGAACGGCTGGGCAATGCGTAATCTAAGCTCTACGAGCAGGTCGAGAAGTCTACAGGAATTTGAACGCACTAGAGAATGAACTGTAAGAATTAAGTGTCGAACTGCAGGAGGCTTATGATAAAATCGAGGGCCACAACAAAGTCGACCTCGTTTACTGAAAACCAAGGTATTAAATCGATCCCCCTGGCCTCTCCGTCCAACTGCTACAGCTCACGCCTGTACTGTAGGAAGCATTTGTTCCTGTGCAATTGTTTCATCATGGGCGATCACCTTAACGTTAGTCTCAGTTTGTGGGTTCCCTGCCATATGTGAAGTTGAAACTAAATTTGCGCACATGTTTATAATATATACGAGATATGAGAGAAAAACGTTAATGCAGAGTATATGAACGGAATTAGCTCAGTGGTAGAGTAGTAGATTGCAAATCTATTGGTCGCTGGTTCGAACCCGGCATTCCGCTCTTTTTCTTACCTTTTATCCTTTTTTTTTTTGGATATCTCGGATAGCTGTGAGGTTTTGACCTTGCAGCAGCTTTTTCGAAGAATTTATATCGTAGGTACAAGCAACGTCTTGAATCCTACTGATCCTAGCTTTACGGCTGCAGCCTATTTGCCATTCATTACGAGAACTTAAAGTCAAAACTGCAAAGTTCCTATCACAAAGGGTACATAATATAAGAGGTCGGTACCGCCACACCTCTCACCCCTGGCCTCGGTATCTATGCTCTAAAACCCTAAACCCTAAAAACCCACCAACCCACATCCAATCATCTCAACGATATAAACTCTGTATATCCAATAAATATACACATGAAAGCCGAATGTCCGGTCTGCGCTGCTGTCGGTCGACGAGGGGTATCCATCACCCCTTTTCCGGCGCTGACTTTTTGTCAAGCTGCTGCAAATATACCTGTAAAAGATTAATACGATTGGTAGAATATACTACTTCGTGCTCAACCTGGTATTGTATATCGCATACAAGCGCATATACTGCCATAGCCTACCTCGCGGATACAGTTTTAGCGTATACAATGACACTCCACTTCGGTTCACTGATCATACGCTATGTTTAAAATAATCAGTAGAATTTGTTGTTTTTACGCAGACTGACTGGTGGAGTGTAGGCGGTAGACTCAATTAAAGTACAAATATATTACTATTTCTGACGCCATTTGTGGTTTATCACTTTCTTTGTCATGCCAGCCTACTAATAATGTCTGCATCGTATTCTGATAAAAAAAAGAAGAAATGATCGACTTTGAACTGTCTCCTTGCCTTTGTGGGTGATTATGTGTTTAGACATTTCATCGTAAACCAACCCCACTGACGTGTATCTCCAATTCATGCACTTTGAAATTCATTAGATACTTCTATCATCATTGATCACTTGATATTGGTCCGAGACAAAATTTGATCTTCAGTCCAGGATTTCAGCTGACTTAAAAATCGAAAAGCCACTGATATACTGATAGTTGTAGCACATAATTATGTAAAACTGCATAAGAGTTATAAGAATAATACGATAGTATGAATTTAATACATATTGCCAGCCCATTTTCCAAATCATTGACTGGTCATACAATATCTACGGCCCGATCGTCGCCATCGCGATCGTCAAGGCTTTTATAAAAAAAGTATGATCACTGAAAACATATCAGCGATCAACAGAACGAACCACGCGTTAAACCCACCGACATAATAATGGTCAACGTAGCAAAATTCTTCGGCCACATGTCAACTAACGAAAGTGCGGCATCAATTTCAATAATTCTCAAGCTGGAAATCGTACTTTAATCATTAGAGATGCACAAATTGTGAGGCAATTATAAGATTGTAGATCCCAACTTGTCCGCCTGACAAAACCAACAAAAGAGCTCATTCTCGAATTTGCACCTCTAGTCATATTCAATATCACTATTAGGCGATAACTATGAATCGTCCTGTCCATGTTCTGCCAGTACCCGAGAGAAAGGTATATGCCCCTACTTGTTTCCCTTCTTCTGTAGGTACAAAAAGGTATTGAGAAGGTATGAGAGGAAGGTGTATGCCCCCTAACTTGTTTCTCTTCTTCTGCAGGTACAAAAAGGTATTGAGAAGGTGTGTGAGGAAGGTGTATGTCCCTACTTGTTTCCCTTCTTTTGCAGGTACGAAAATGTATTGAGAAGGTGAGAGAGGGTATAAGGTAGCAGTCCCTACTCACACACACACGAGTCATACAAATTTCCATGCCTAGCTTTTGAGATTTCTCCTAGTGATAAAAGACTGTCGTAATACAGACCGCCTACCTTTTTCTTCTTGGTATTACTCTTCTTTTTGGGTCCCGTGTTTGTGGGGTGGCCATTCGTTTGTCCATCGTTGAAATCGGCAATGAGCGCGGCATCTGAGAATGTTCCCACAGGCGCAGGAGTTTTGTGTGCCGATTCGTCGTACGCAGATAAGTCTCCGAGGCCTACATAGTGCGAGACTGGGGTGTAGAATCATGGTAGTCATTTCGTGTTAGGGTCGGTGGCTGCACCATTCTAAATACTAAAAAAGCAAAACAAATATCACAAAGACTCCGAGCCTACTATCGAATTGATCAATCTTTATCCAATAGTGTCTTTCCAGCTATGCCCAGAATTTAAGCCAAACCTACATTTCGAGCCGAAACCTAATTTATCATCGTCGTCGTCGGTGAAGTACGCGTCCCTATCGTCCAGTATCATACCAAGGGAGTCGTAGCGAATCAATCGCGGGCCGAAGTGGACAGTAGAAGGCGCGGCAGCGCTCTTGAACTGAACACCCGAGCCTACGAGCTTGTCAGCTGACATTTTCCTGATACGGAAATAGTGTGACTGATAGTAAGACGTACGTGACTGGTAGCAAGACGTACGTGACTGGTAGCAAGACTTACGTGACTGATAGCAAGACGTACGTGATAGATGGTAATAGTATGGTATGCGAAAGAGACAATAAGATACGCATGGCATGCAATATAGGCGCATGTGACAAACACGCACGTCATATAGTCGTAGACATATGAGAGCAATAGTAACACAAACTGTGATAGAGGGGTAAAAACATATACACAAACCACAGACTATGTCCAGTCTAAAAAGCAAACCACATACAGTGGAAGCATCGCAACGATATCAGAGGACGAGACACTGAGGCACTACATAACATTTACGATAAGCACTCAGTAGGCCAAGCTACACATGAACTCCATATCAGGCGCGCCTTGATTATGAACGTGAGTCATTGCAGCCATACCATAGGTATTTGTGGAAGAGGATCTCAATACATAGAAAGTATATCTAAGATGCATGCGTGTAAACGAACTGAAAGGTACAGAGATCCCGAGCATACTTAAGTGGCTCCTGGAAATCAACCCATTTCGGGTTCGTTGATAAAAGGTTCCGCAGATACGATGAAGGGGCCTCACACTCGGCTTTCAGCCGGATCAGATTACATACCAGCAGCATAATAGGCGTTTTACCTGCAAGAGAACCATAGGTGGGTTATATGAATATACATAAGCGCTACTGTTATTCCGATACCCTTGTTGGTATGACTTATCAAATCGTGTATGAATCTGGTACAATTTCAATGAAGGTAAAACCTAAGATACAAAAAAGCAAAGTCTTATCGATTTGTCTTGAGCGCTTGGTTCTCGGAACTCACTCCAGACTGAATACACATAAAACCCCAGAAGTAAACGTTTTGCATATGAGCCAGAGAGATGGCCCGAATCTTATTGGGATACCGTAGCCATGAATGGGATGAGACAGAGAAATACAAATATCTGGACGCAGGAATAACTCAACCGCTAGTTTCTATAAAAATCATAACTAGTCACCTTGTGTATCGGATGTGGTACTTTAGCAAATATGCTCCATCTAAACAGAAGAATAGAATAGTCTTAACAAGCGACAAGGTACTCACCAGACGGCCCGGCGGTGAGCTCGTCTACCAATCGTGATATAAGTTTTGGCTTGGAGAAGAAGTTCTTGAGGGTGGTCGTGTGCCCTGCTTTTAGAATCATGTTCACGAACCTGTAATATAATATATGGAAGATGCTACAATGTCTGCGATGGGGGTAAAAGACGGGTAAGGGTGTCAGTGTAACTACAGATTGAATAAATAACGACGAATAAATCGAGAAACGAAGTCAGTTCAAACGCACAATAAATATATTATTGTAAACTGTCTGGCTATGAGATAGTTTAGGGTGTTCGTATACTGGGTGAGGAGAGGGAAAGTACCGAACAGGGTAGTCACTTCTCACTTCACACACATACTATATCGATGGGAGAGAATATACATACTATATCGATAAGACATAATATACATACTATATCGATGAGAGAGAATATACTGTTCTGGATGCGGAAGTGCGATAAAACACAAACCCCGAGATGGCGGCAACTGCGCATACATACAATGTGCGTCTGACAGTCAAAGACAACACAGAGCGGATATGATTCCAGGTCACCACGCACCTCAAAGGAGAGTATAGGATTCAGTGCATGTGAACGCCTATAAGCCTCTCCTGTAAGCGAACACTACGGTTATAGGCGTTTCTCGCCAACGAACACTCATCACTTATGCATATACTAGGCCCTTGCGTACTACCATGTCACCGGCGTCATACGTGCATATACTACACATAACCACGGAAAGTTTCAAACCAGTGTTTTAGAGTTTTGACATCTCAGCGGAACCCCAAGAGTCGCCTCTGATGCGCACGCTCCACCACTTACTCATGACTGAAGAAGGATGTCGATATATTCTTCCAGTAGCTCGCTGGTATGCTTTCGAGCACATCCGCCTCCGGCAGAGTCGAGTCCTCTGTTTTAGGGCAAACGAGGCGGTTAGACTGAGCAATCGAAGTCAGATCATAGCGGTTGTGGTGTAGGTGGGACTTGTATGTACCGAACTTTCGCACAGGGTAGACATTCCACTAAACTCACCTCACGATGTTAGGACAAACTTACACACGAATCCAAAAACTTCACTCACCAGTTCGGCTATATCGCATACACGCAGTTCACAATAATCTGAGTCAAGTCAAATTGCACTGTACCAAAATAATATCAATGGGTGCTTGCCTGTCCGTTGCACTGAGTGTAGAGGAACAGTACAAGACGGATATGCACTCACAGACAGACGATGAAACGACTACCAAGTACTGGTGTCCCACACTACCTGTGGCCTAAGCGAGAACGGCGTATATGAACGTGTTTGTATCTCAGCGTAGCAGGGCAAGACGCGGTTGCTATATAGATGGTGTTCTCTCATATCATACACTTATAAGTCGTGCACAACCATATACCCTAGTCCAAACAGAGAGTATGACGGTGTTCGTATCTAAGCTTAGGGTAGAAAGTGAGGCTTTGTTCTTTACAGGCACACATTCGAGTAATGATTGGTCTAACCACTCACCCTTAGTCCGCACAGCGCCCATGAAGGTGTTTGAATTGACGCATAGGCTGGAAAGCACTTTGTTGCCACAAGGATGCTATGTACTTATACAAAATAACTTTGCTACAAAAAAAATGCACGTCAACACAGGACAGTACTGGCGTGCGCAACCACATAACCATAGTCAAATGCAGCATGTATATTAGGAAAGCATGTGAGGTATTGCTCTTTATAGACATACATTAAAGTACGTATATAGAGGTGTTGGTATCTAATAGGGTGGTAAGTGAGGTATTGCTCTTTATATACATACATTCAAATACGTATATGAAGGTGTTTGTATCTAATAGGGTGGTAAGTGAGGTATTGCTGTCTATAGACATAGATTGAAGAGCACGTATATGAAGGTGTTTGTATCCAATAGGGTGGTAAGTGAGGTATTGCTGTCTATAGACATACATTAAAGAGCACGTATATGAAGGTGTTTGTATCTAATAGGGTGGTAAGTGAGGTATTGCTGTCTATAGACACATTAAAGAGTACGTATATGGAGGTGTTTGTATCTAATAGGGTTGTAAGTGAGGCATTGCTGTCTAAAGTCATACATTCAAGAGTACGTATATAGAGGTGTTTGTATCTAAAAAGGTGGTAAGTGAGGTATTGCTCTTTATAGACATACATTCAAGTACGGACGCGCACCACCACTTACCCTTAGTCAGCACAGCGTATATGAAGGTGTTGGTATCCAGGCATAGCGTGGTCAGAGAATTGTTGACTGAATAGCCGCTGAACTTGATCGTCTGTTGCATCAGGCGCTGTAGTGGGGTCCAGTAATAAAGAATATGAGATCATCCCCCCGTCTCGAGAGTCTCTCTATTGATTGCTGGTATTATTATTATTTATAACACGACCCAAAAAAGTAAACAGTGGTATGCCGTACACTTAACTCTTAGCTTATTCTGCACAAGATACTGGACAACCCCCGGCGAGCGGACGTACCTTGAACTGTGAAGCATATGGTGTTTGTTCTAGCAATTGACATACGCACATATACACACGATGACCTTTGTAGTACTGGCAACACACAAGCATATACAAATATCAATGGTTTATAGTATATTTAAATACGAAGGATACAAAGTATTATACAAATATCAATGGTTTCAAGTATATATAAATACGAAAGATATAAAGTATAGATCCATATCAACGGTTTCAAGAATATATAAATACGAAAGATATAAAGTATATATATACATATCAATGGTTTCAAGTATATATAAATACGAAGGATATAAAGTATATATACATATCAATGGTTTCAAGTATATATAAATACGAAGGAAATAAAGTATCATATAAATATCGTTGGTTTCAAGTATATATAAATACGAAGGAAATAAAGTATCATATAAATATCGTTGGTTTCAAGTATATATAAATACGAAAGATACAAAGTATCATATAAATACCAATGGGTTCAAGTATATATATATGAAGGATATAAAGTATATATACATATCAATGGTTTCGAGTATACATACATATGAAGGATATAAAATAATATATAAATATCGATGGTTTCAAGCTTGAACTTCTCCACTGGACACACCCTTCCGGAAAAGTTGACCACGGCGGTGCACAGATCAGATATGCGAGTAAGTAAGTGTGCGTGCAAATAGTCCGGAACAAGCGGAGTTTCTGTTGATTGCGCCGTTATCGATTCCCTGGGTAGTTGGTATGTGCACAGGATCAGTTAGAAATCTGGTAAATATAGATTCCTAGACTATTTGACATGCATTTTTTGACATGTGTCATATATCTATTGGTTCACATGTATATATATATATAAATAGATATATATATATACATATATTTATACATACATATATATATACATATATATACAAACAAAGACACAGAAACACAGAGACATACCTATATATATATATATATATATATACACACATATAAATATATACACACACACATATATATATACACACATACACATATATGCAGATGTATATATATATATATATACATATATATTTATATATATACACACATATATACAAACATATATATAGATATATATGCATATATATGTATGCATATATAAATATATATATATGTATATAGACTTATATACATAGACTGTATGTGTCAATTCATGTATGTGCAATATATATACATACATATATATATATATTCATACATAGATACATAGATACATAAAAGCATACATAGATACATATACATAAATACATAGACGGTATGTTCCAGTCCGTGTATGTGCATGTAACTGAGATGGAAAAAAAGCGACATTACCGCATGTTCGTACCTAGAAATACTACTTACCATCTTGTGAACAATATATTCAACACTTGAATGGCGTGCACTTTCTGATGGCTGACAGTTGTGGCCGAGAGCAGGATCTGTAGACAATCAGAAGAAGTGAAGTGATATTATACAGTATATAAATAGAACGCTCATCTATAAAAAGAGCTCTGTCAGCAGAATTCACTTGCTACCTTAAGATGGGCAACTCAGCTGTGCATGTGGTGCAGTCGGAGTGAGATTAGTGTATAGCCTGTGTACGTTAAGCTATAAGCATGACGGCTCAACCCCTACAGATTATATGAGCTGCTAGGATTTAATAAAAGATGTGGTACTTTCTATTGAAGGCAACGACCATGTCTATCACACCAGGACTTCTATGAGACTAACAAAGTCCCCTTTGTATTTTACAGTTTAGGGTCAGGGTTACGTTGGTGCACTCATACATGTAAGCATGTGTGGATGTATCTGATTTAGTAATGTACATGCATCTATGTTTAAAAGTAATGGAACTTCAAACAAACTATCCGTCAGTCTCTGATAAAAGAACGTGGAGAAAATGTATTGCAATGCACAGAGCATTTTTTCCTTGAAATACAATCGGGTTGATTAGCCAGTGATGTGGATAGGGTTAGCTGCATGGTAGACCTCCCAGGG